TCTATATAAACATTTTGCTAGGAACATACTGGAACGGTGGTAGGTCTGTAGATCGATACGGAACAAATTGGATCTTGAAGATTTTGATGCATACAGCAAGAACCGGAGAGTTCCTTCGAAACCATCGGACCCTGCGTTCTTAAGGCCATAACGTACTATTTTCGATATAACGCAAGGCAAAGACAATCGCATCCACACAACCTTACGTTAATTGTAGTACTGTCATTGAATACATGTCTCATTTCGTTGACTTGAGGTCTCTATGATCGAGAGAGGAGGAGTTTATATTGTTTACCAAAGGTGTTTTTTTGTTGGTAAGCCATATCATTGTTAATTCTTCATCAAATCCACAAGATTGAATGTTGAAGGTTTCCTTCTGCTTCAAGCGGGAAAAATAGTCCTATCACACAGAAAATACAGGCAGAAAGTTAATTTATTCGCGAATAACTAAAAAATTACACACTTTTCTTTTGGTTATGTCCATGATCATATAATTACTAAATTCCCTATTAAACATATTGGTTCCAAACATTAAAGAAGTTATCGATTAATTTTTGGTTTCTTTGTCGAGTATATTTAGCGAAGAAGTAACAATTGATTTCTTCTATGATAGAATAGAATATAATAGAAAATAATTTTATTCTGGGACGAAGTCCCTTCAGAATAACAAAAAAGTACAAAATTAAAATGTTATATCTGGCCAAATAAAAACAAACCTAAAAAGTAAAGATAAAGCTAAATCAATAAAGACAATATTAATTATACATACTATATACAAAGTAAAATAAAAAACATCTATATACAAAACTCTTGAAACCTTGGCAAGACACTTAAAACTATGTACAATGGTAAAATATAAATATACACTTTTAGAAAAAATAAAAAATACATTACATTCTTCTTAGCAGTAAACTCTGTGTTTCTGTTGAAAAAAAAAAGAAAGTCGAATCTGATAATAAGTATTTAAGTTATGAGCTATATGTAAATACATTATTGTGAATAATGTGTAGTTTTACATAAAAGGTTAGAGGGTATCTGACAGAAATTGGAATAGGAGGGTTTTGAATGTAGATAGGAAGGGAATTCCAAATTAACAGAGCGAGCAATAAAGGAGTTTTGGTACGAGGCAGATTTGTGAGAAGGAATGTAAATGTCGGAAGGTCGAGATCTCGTGGAAAGGGAGTGGACTGAGGACTTGAATTTCATTGATACATTGCATTATTTTATTTTATCATTAATTTATTATTTGATCACTGAACAATATACTGTACGAATTTTCGCAAGGTCCTACTATTGTTTAATAAATAGCTTTAAGCTAATAGGTAACTGCAAGACTTACGAGAGCTTTGCGCAAGATCAAGACTTCTCATGTTGTTGCATTTGGGCAACACTAATTGGAGCATGATACACTTGTGCTTCAGGCGTTTGAACTGCAAATCTACTATCTCTCTCTTTACTCTCTCGTTATTAATATTACTGGTACACTTATCGTACTCACCATCTCTTGATATAGAAGGCTGGTGAGAGAGAACTGTAAGCTAAAAAAAGGGGTCGAGTTCACATTAAATATTAAAGAGGCGCCTTAACCGCACGAAATGCGTGAATCTCGCCATTTATCTGATTTCACATTTACAGATTTTTTATTTATTTTTTTTGATATATCTACTTTGACATGAAGAAAAAAATATTTTAATTTTACTGCTGTAATTGGTAAATCTAACACCCATATTATAGTTTATTTTTTGTTACATTTCGTTTGACATTTCAGGAAACGTTCTTTCCAACATCAGATCTTATAACAGTAAAATTAATAAAAGAAAAGTTGCAGAATATGTATTATCATAAAAAAAATTACATACAAATTGTATTTATTATCTAATGGAGCAAACCAAACAAATTACGGACCAGTGAATCAAAATGCTATTAATAATAGGGTTATGTACTTTTACCTCACATGCTTACTGTCAACAAGTTTGGCAGCTTGCATCATTGTTTGATATTTTTAATTAATAAAAACTAAGATGTGTGCTTTAGACTACACTATATGAAATGAAAACATCAACAACGCGAGATTAATAAAATGAAATATAAATAACAAATAATAGCCCATTATGAAGAGGAAGAAACGCTGAACAATTCCCTCGCTTACAGTATGCAGGTCCGATTTTTAGTTTATGAGATATTTTAATCAATATCTTCAATTAAACTGGTTATCATTTAGTTTTCGACGTTAGTTTTTCCTTTTCGCCTCTACAACATGGCGCACAGTGGGACGACTAAGGGAATACTTGCGACATCTATTTGTATCTGTCTAAATCTATTTCTTTTTCTTATAACTCCAAAAACTAGATAAAATGTTTTATTGATGCCTTGGGTTGTTCGTGCAGTTGCCGAGAATATTTTCAGTTGTCACAATATATATATATTTTATACTTATATATTTTATACTGGACTACTGGACCTATATTATTCAAATTTGGATTTAAAGTCAGAGGTCACACGAGGATGATCCTCTTGCATCGACATTACTATTCGCTTTTTCCTTACAAGATGGCGGATAAAAAATATGTGTTGCTTTAGCGCCTAAACGAATGCACCGATTTCAATGAAACTGAGCTAAAGTCTTCTTCTCGATGCTCTTTAAATTTATCTATATTACATACTTCAACGAAAAGAAGCTATAAAAAAGTTTAAGAGGGGTGGTAAAATTAGATTCCTAATAACTCAAAAAGTATACACTTTTTTGTAACTTTTATAATTAAATGTTTCAAAGATATTTACATTTCCTAAAAAACAAAGAAAATTTCATCGAAATCCGAGCACTATTATTATGGTTATTTATAAGTTTAAGAAATTTTCTAAAAAAAAGGCAAAAAAAAATCGTTTAAATCGCACGATTTGGAGCAAATATATTTTTTATATGCTCTGCTGCAAAATTTATCTCCTTTGGTTTGGTTTATGATTTTTGAAAGTGTTACTCAATAGCCCGTGGTACAGACCCCTTTTTATCGAATTATTAACATCCGCATTAAACTTCATAAATAGTTTCATCCTCATCGTAACCTACAACTATTTTATTTACGAAAACTCTTGGAATTGGGGCGTTTTCAATCGAGAAGGGGCAAACTTTGTCTACTTAATTAGGTACTAAAAACTCGTAAATACACCTTTGATTTCTACTTGAATCGTAAGATAATTTGATCACAAAATCGAGAAAAAAGGTGGCCCTTAAAAATATTGAGCCGTTTGGCGTGACCTACACCCCCAAAATTTCAAAATAACGAGGTTGTATAGGACAAACGGCCCAATATTTTAGTATTCCACCTTATTTATCTATTTTTTGATCACGTCATCTTACGATTCAAGTAGAAAGCAAATGTGTATTTATGAGTTTTTAGTACCTACCTAATTAAATTGACAAAGTTTGCCTCCGTAGAGATTGAAAACGCCCTAATTCCCAGATAATACAATTACAAAATAATTTAATAGTTCTTCATTCTTCAGCATCATATCATAATTTCTATAGAATTTCTAAATATAGATTTTTTTATCAAAGATGTATTTCGAGAATGCTAATTATAACAACTTATAATTATAGACTAATATGGATTAATGAGAAATGATATTCATATTAATGAAAAAAGCTATAACGAATATAAATGAAATAATTTAAAACCCAAATGAAGCTAATTATTATCCAAGCCTATGTTTCAAATCAAAAATATTTTTCGATATATGAATTCATATCCTTCCGATATATCTGCAATACATGTGATAAGGAACTTCTATCATTTGTTTAACTAAACAAAACTAGAACGCTTAGCAATCAGAAAATAAAACAAAAATCATATGGTCATCGTATCTTCGCATCATCATAAATAAAATAGTTTTAGGTTACAATGAGATGAAACGATTTACGAAGTTTCAGACGGATGTTAATAATTCGATAAGAAGGGATATGTACCACGGACTAGAAGTAATGCTATTTTTTTTCCTAATGATGAAAAAAAAAATGTTTAGGCCAATAATAGGAATCACCTTTTATTTCTTTAATCTTGTTACTAGGAACTAGTAGGCCCATGGGAAAAATTCGCACAGCATGTTGTTAACAAATGCTACATTAACAAGAAAATAAAATGATGCAACACATTGAAAGATAAATAAATCAATTGTTACTTTATCGATAAATATAATCGACAAAGGAAACCAAAATTAATTTAAATCTTTAATAATGTTGGAACCAACATGTTTACAAATTTCAATAAGCTGAATCTTCACTAAAAATTGTCCGGTTTCGATGATTTTTTTTTTTTATTTTGTAGTGAATTTAGTAATCTTTTACATAATCATGGGTATAACCAAGGGAAAAGTGTGTAATTTTTTAGTTATTCGCAAATAAAGTTGATCATAGACACCTCAAGTCGATGAAATGAGACATGTATTCAATGACAGTACTACAATTAACGTAAGGTTGTGTGGATGCGAACCCTATGCCTTATGTTATCTCGAAAACAGTACGTTTTTGGGCTTAAAAACGCAGGATCCAATAGTTCCGGAGGAACTATCCGGTTCTTGCTGTGCGCATCAAAATCTTCAAGGTCCAATTTGTCCCGCATCGATCTACAGATTGGATCAGTCTACCACCGTTCCAGTATTAAAGCCTAGAAAATGTTTGTATCGACTTTATTTATTTTAGAAAGAAAAAGAAAAGTGGAAAATACGATTCGGTACCCCAACGGTACCCCATTCATGGTATTTGAGCATGGCAGAAGCTTATATTTGGTACAAAACTGATTTAGAGCCTTACTGTAGTGATATGTGTGTGGATGTGGATGTAATGTTACTTTAGATGCATAATTGTTTGGAAATAATAAATTATTGTGAAATAATTCGCAGCGTTTTTTCAACTTGAATATTGATGAATGAAGTTACATTGTCTTTGACTTGAATAATAATGAAGTTACCTTTTCATTATTAGTGATAGTGATGAATGAAGTTACCTTGTCATTGACTGCCATGACGGAGATGCCATCGGCGAGGGTGGATATGGCGTGGTCCTCGAGCTGCTGGTGAGGCTGGCCCGGGCTGGGACAGAGGCCCACGGAGCGGTTGAGCGGCTCGTCCGGGAAGAAGTTGTACCTCAGGTGGGCGATCACCTCGTCGAAGCGATCCTCCGGGATCGGCCACACCAGCTCGAACATCTGCAATAATCGATCGGGATAATCGATAAGTAAATTGTTATCGATAAGTTCAAGATATGTCGAAGAATATGTTAACCGTTATAAACGTAGGTGTTACTTTTGATCAAACCCTATTCTGGAAACCACACATCTCCCAAATTTCCCGTCGCACCCTAAAACAGTTCAATCGTCTACGATATCTCCTTCCATATAAGTCCTGTCAACTCCTAGTTTCCTCCCTTGTTTTCCCCCACTTCGACTATGGCAGTATGGTGTACGGTGGACTCTCGGGAGATTCCGAGGTCAAACCTAAACGCCTAATGAACTGCGCAATACGTTTTGTTTTCGGAAACTCAAGGGATACGCATATTACCCAGTATTACTACACTGAGTTGAGGTGGCTCTACCCAACCTATCGCCGTCAGTACTTCCTAGCCATACTTCTGTACTAGATCATTAGAACTCATCGACCCTCTTATATTTTTCACAGCTTACAATTCAAATACTCCATCCAGTACCATCCCACTAGATCTCGTACTTCCGACCTCTATCCTCCTCCTCACCGAATTGCTGCGTTTGACAAATCCGTTGCAATTCAAGCCGCCTCCCTCTGTAATCCCATCCCTGCTGATATTCGACACGCTCAATCAATTACCTCTTTCAAACCTCTCTTCTTTAAACACCTACTCCTTTCTCAATCCGACTGGTTGCGAAATCTACTTAAGAGAAATAACTAAGCACCCCAGAGACTACCTCAATTTATTTAGGTTATTTTAGTTTCTTATATATATATACAATTTCCTTGTTATTTTCTTTCTCTTCTTCAGTATTTTTATTTTTAGTCGACTCTTATTGTAAATATATAATGTAATTGTAACCACACAGACATGCAATCTGTATTTATAATTTGTTCTAAAGGGACAACAGTCCCAGAATAATAAAATATTTTTTTCATTTTCATTTTTTCAAGTAAGGTAGTCACCTAACTTCGAATTAGGATTGAAGAACATTTCAATACGAGGCCTTACTTGGATTATTTAATAAATAGGGTAAACTTAGCCCTTAATGTTATCAATCACATAGAGAAAGTCTTTGGGGCCTTAGATGTTCAAAAATGTTGACCATTTCAGGCGTCCTCTACCTGGAACCGGAGTCTTTCGTACCTGAACGAGCAGGTTGGGGACTATCCAGTGAACGGCCCTGCATCGAGTAACCAGGTCATACTGGGTGGTGTCTCATGAGAAGGTGTAGGTCTTAGGAGAAGCTATTCTTCTAGAACTCCTCTTGCGGAAATACCTTTTCCAGTACAACATTAAGAGGAATGGTATATTGAAAATGGTTCAGAGAGCCGGTTCCTAATCTTCACTCTGAACTGATGGCTTCCATACAATTGTCGAATTGTTTGAACAACATATTCAATAGGTTCATTAATACCCGCTATTCTCAGTGCTGGTCATATTCTTTCCCTAGGTTCTATTCCCCTTTCCCTTCCAGGCATTGAGCAATGTTATCATTAGTATAATAAGCTTCGCCCTCCCCCCAAACATTCCCAAGTAACGGCGCCTATGGTCCTCATAAATATTTTAATTGAAATAGAACCTTTGGCTTCCATACATTTTTTTTTTTTTTTTTTTTTATAATTTAAGGCTTCAACCACTAGGGCTATGCATTATTGCCTTATTTTCATCGAGAACTAAATTGTATTCTCAAGTCCAGAATATTTCAGAAAATAAAACAGTTTATCAACCTCATCCGTATTGTCCTGTAAAATGGAGTGTAGATCGTTTGTCAAGTCACAAGAGAGTCTAAATGTTTCGTAAGTTCTGCATTCTGTTAGTATGTGTTTCACTGTCAGAGGAGTCCAACAGGTTTGCCACGTTGGCGAAGAATCACCGGCCATCAGGTATCCATGGGTAAGGCGTGTATGACCTATGCGCAGGTGCGATTTGGTGATGCCCAAGAGGAAACGTCACCCTTAACCTCCCTCAATTTATTTTCGGGTACATTTGACCATATCTGTTCCCATTTTGTCTTCATTTTCTGTTTGATGACGGTTACATACTTTTTTCCTCGCGACAAAATTAAAAATATATTAACAAACAGAATACTGAGTCAATATAAAATGAAACTCGATCTTCCTTTGAACAGTCCTGCCATTAAGGTCGTTAGGGTGAAGTTGAGAATGGCTATTTGAACAGTTCTAAAGAGGACCTCGGCGAAGAGAAATTGATCGGGATCCTCAAGAGCAATTAGATACCAGCTGGCCCCAATGAGTCTCTACTCAGCTGATAAATGGTTTACTCAGCTCGTTAGCTCTTCCCCATCAGCGGATCGATAATTATATATTATAGAGGCACAGGCTTTTCTTTCCAGTGCCTTCTATACTATATAACATTATAGGCTCCACGTTAAATGCAAAAAGTAGTTTAAATCATTTTCATAATAAATAATTAATTAGTCATTGAATTTATTAGCTCCATGCGTTTAAATAGTCGTATAAGCTTGAAATCCAGTATTTTGAACAAACAAAATTAGCTGTTCCATTAGTTTTTATTTCTTGTAACTCAATACTTGAAAGTATAGAATAGAAAATAATTTTATTCCGGGACGAAGTCCCTTTAGAATGACAAAAAAGTACAAAATTAAAGCATTATATCTGGCCTAAGTAATAACAAACATAAATAGTAAAGAAAATATTAGTTAGACATACTATGTACAAAATAAAAAAATCTATTTACAAAACACTTGAAACCAAGCAAAGGCACTTAAAACTATGTACAATGGTAAAATATAAGCATACACTTTAAAAAAAAAAAAATAAATAATACATTTCATTCTTCTTAACAATAACCTCTGTGTTCCCGAAAAAAAAAAAAAAAAAAAAAAAAAAAAAAAAAAAAAAAAAAAGGATCTGATAGTATTTAAATGGTGAATTGTATGTAACTATATCATAATGTGAATCTTTTGAATAATATGTAAATTTACATAGAAGGTTAGCGAGGGGTATCTGACCGTTTTTGGGATAGAAATTGGAATAGGAGGGTTTTAAATGTAGATAGGGAGGGAGAATCCTGAATTTTGATAGGAAAAGAACTCCAGAAATTAACTGAGCAAGCAATAAACGAGTTTTGGAACGAGGCAGATCTGTAAGAAGGAATGTAAAGGTCGGAAGGTCAAGATCTTGTGAAAAGGGAGTGGACTGAGGACTTGAATTGGAGAAGGTTGTAGGCGTAAGAAGGACGATGATTGTTGATGATTTGATAGAGGAACGTACTCAGTGTAGTGGTGAGACACTTGGGAGTATTTCGGGGCACCAATTAAAAATCTTACGCAGTAGATTAATAATGTAAATTATTATTTGCGAAACACTATACAATATACAAATATAAAATAGGCTACAATCGGAGATTTCTTCCCTCTTTCAAATCTATCGAAATCCCTAAAAATCTATATTAATCTCATGTTTAGAGGGTAGAATGTTTCTATCAAGCCAGTTCCGATGTATGGTTGCGAGATCTGGGCACCAACCAACAGCTTAGAAAGAATTAGTGAACGATTTGAAAGGAAAATCCTAGGCACAATAACATGAGTGATCTGGGAACAACTTGAGGAAAAGGACCAACAATGATCTGCTCACAGAAACTGGTTAATCAATATCTCATATATGAAGGCTAGGAGGTGAGATGGACGGGACATGATTAGGAAGATTATACACAAGAATGGATGCTTCAATATACCAAAAATCAAATGGTTGCATCGAACCAACAAATGAACCAACCCAGCCAATAGAAAAGCAATTTTTTTAATAATATTCTTCCCTAATCGCCTAATAGGCTATACGGGATTTTTCCGTCCGGAGGTTGAGGGCGGGGAATTAAAAATCACATAAGATAATTGAATAAAAATAGTCACGAGTTCGCTTTCTGGTGCCGGAGGAGTCCTTTTAAAGTCCCGCCCTTACCCTCTGGCTTGGCAAAACCCCATATAACTTTAAAGGCGAGGAAGGGGAGAACACTCCCCTCCCCAAAAAAAAAAATTAAAAAAGAAATATAGAAAAGCTGTAGCCCAAGATAGGCAGAGATAGAAAAGGTTTGTGCATGCAGCAGAAGATTTACAAGTTCTGTAAAGTGAACAGGAAAAAAAAGGGATATTATGGATTCATATAGAATAAGCAGCCAAGAAATTTTCGAATATTAACTCTATGGATGTATTAAATTGATTAAACTAAACAGTATTTCATTTATTCTTTTTTGGCAAAAGTAAATTTCCTTTTTAACTGTCAATAATATTCAACAATAACTATTAAGTTATTTGTATGAACTTTAGTGTGATTTGGTAGTGAACTTTGGATATTGGATCTATCAACAAATACTATGTGGTCTCATCAGTTGATCTGTAGTTTTATGATAATAATGTGAAAACCAAAAAAAAAAAAATATAATTTTTTAGCAGGGAACACTTATCACTTCTTACTTATCAACATTTATATATATATTTTTTTTTTTTCAGAAAGGAGGAGGTCCGGGGTGGCGGTCATAAATCTGAATAGTGGTAAAACTATTTTATTAAAATCCAACGTTTCGACCCGTTTCTTCATCTTCTTCAGAGAAGTGTGTTCAGCTGGGAGTTTCACTTAGAACTGAAGTCTAATTGAGTCTAGAATTGAGTTCCAAGTGAAACTCCTATCTGAACACACCTCCCTGAAGAAGATCTGCAAAATCGGGTCGAAACGTTGGCTTTTAATAAAATAGTTTTGCCATTATTTAATCTATTTATGACCGTCACCCCGGACCATGTCCTTCCTTTATAATGCAACGGTCAACTATTAAATATTCATTATTTTTTTATAGATCGTTTTTTTACTAGAAATTTTTGCCTGACTCTTAATCGATGTTAGCTATGCATCGATTGCAAATTATTCGAGAAAATAAAAACCGACTCCCAATTGACTAGAGCCTGGAACCAATTTATCGCGGTGCCTTTGAAGTCGAGAGGCGGAGCGAGGGCCAATCAGGAGGCCCCTTTCCTCTCTCCTTCCAGCCAATGAGAGCGCCTCCCTTCCAGCCAATAAACTGGAAATTTTCCATCTAATAACGCTTTCCACCACCCGGGGTTAATTAGCCCGCGGTCTTATTGAATATTCCTTCATAAGGAGGAAACTCACTTTGTCCTCTCCTTTAGAGGAATGGCAAATTTTATTAATTAATTAACGAGAAGAATAAAACAATAACTCATTTAACTAGCCCACTTAACACACCTGCCTCATATCAGAGAACATTTCTTTTTTTTGTTTTACCTCAAATATGAATTTTCTTATGCTAACTATTGGCCACTGAAAAACGTGATATATATCATTGGAAAGGAAAGGATCTTACGAAAAATAAGGTCTAAAAATTCGGGGGGAGGGCTTTCGGTCTGAAGCCCCCCAAAATGATAAAATATAACCATATTTTATTAAAAAAAAATATTTAAAAATTACCTCTTAAAGTATAATTTTTCGTGCAATCGCATTTAAAGGAGCTTTAGGAATCATTTAAACACCAGTTCATATATGTAGTTAGTTTCTTTCTTATTTTCCGAAGTAAATATCGTTACTTAAAAAAAAAAAAATTTCTGGCTGGAGCCCCTCCCAAAATTAAATCCAGGATGCGCTAGTGCGATGCACCATAAAGTGTGCTTTTAAAAATATACATAGTATTTATGGGCATTAAAAGAAATTTGATTTATTAACAATAACATAACATCTGTTAATATTGACTTAAATAATAACTAGTCCAATATGAGAAAAATTAAGTTACACTCAAAGTAAATACATATTTTGGTTTATTATTTTCAATAATGAACCATTGTGATCGACTAAAAAATTCAAGAACATAACCCCCTCTCAAAATTTAAATTTTCACGTATCAAGATGCATAGAATTCGAAAAACGAATAAAAAGTTTTTTGTCCGTCCGCCGTCCGCGCATTTTATCCGAAATTACTGGAACATTTTTTTTCAAATTTGGGTTTAAAATCAGAGGTCACCCGAGGATGATCCTCCTTCATCGACATTACTATCCGCCTTTTACTTTCAAGATGGCGACCGAAAATCCTGCCTTGCTATAGACTGTAGCGTCTAAACGAATGTGCCGATTTTTATTTTTAAATTAAACTTAGCAAGCAGTAAATTTTATTTTATAAAAATAGCCTCACTAGTTTAACACACAATTGAAATATTACTTTAAGAGTTTATTATTGAGGGGTGATATTTGAGATTTAGATCAAAGACAAGAGATATTCAAATCAAACCAAAAAGATATTTTTTTTTTTAAACAATTGAAATTAGTTAAGGAATTGAAAATTAAGTAGTATATAAACAATGATTCAGAATTTAAACCCTAATTATTGATTTAGAAATAATAATAACTACAAAATATCTACGAACGATTGCCAATCATAAAACGAGTTAAGAGATTGAACAATGTATCATGAAACAATAAAAATAAATAAATAACAAATTTTCTTCGCCAGTAAACTAGAAGTAAATTGATAAAATCCGTAAAATTTTAGTCCCATCTATAGACGAATATAACCAAGAATTAGGCAATGAAATATAATTTTCCGATAGAAGGAGATCACGTATCAATAAACAAAAGAAAAAACTTAAGAGATAGGGATTAAAAAATGAAAGGGCCTTTTGGTCTGAAACTTATCAATCTCCAGCAGAAAATATTATAAAATATAGCTGCAATAGAATTCAAGTGATAGAGAACATTTATAATATTGAGATTGCAGTTTTTAAATAACATAAAAAGGTTCATATTCAGTCAAAAACCTGAAATTACAGTGCGTTTCGGGGGTGGGGAATGGGGGTGTGTCCTATATCCAATGCAGTATGACGCACACTATCAAAGTATCTCTCAGCTATACTTATTAATATCTTTATCAAAGTTAAAACCTTTAAAAATGGCGAGTTAATAATATGAAATATAAATTATAAATAATATTTCATTATAAAGAGGATGAAATGCTGAACATTTCCTTCACTTACAGTATGCAGGGTCGATTTTTAATTTCTAATAATTTTAATCCATATCTTCAAAAAAACTCGGTATAATTTGTTTTTCGACATTTTTTTTCTGTTTTTCCCCTCTCTAACACGGCGTCGCGTTAAGATACAATTTTAAATAATAGCTCATTATAAAAAGGATGAAATACTTAACATTTCCCTCGCTTACAGTATGCAGATCCAATTTTTAGTTTTTGAAATATTTTAATCCAGCCAGACTTTAACCGAGCGTTACACATCGGAAATCTGACTCGTAAACACTCATTTACTTTCCACTTGAATCATAAGATAATTTGAACACAAACTCGAGAAGAAATCTGGCCTTAAAAAATATTGAGCCGTTTACCGGGGACCTACAATCCCAAAATATGAAAATAACGAGATTGTATAGGCCAATCGGACCAATATTTTAGGCCATATTTTGCTAAATTTCGTGATCGAATTACCTTACGATCCGCGTGGAAAAGAAATGGGTATATAAGAGTTTTTAGTAGCTAATTAAATAGACAAAGTATGGCGATCTCTAAATTGAAAACATTCCTATTCCAACAATTGTCGTAAATAAAATATTAGTAGGTTACGATGAGAAGAACCTATTTACGAAGTTTCAGGCGGATGTTAAATGTTTGATAAAAAGGAGTCTATACCACGGACTAAAAATCATTTGGAATGAGAAGGAATTGCCATGGCAGATTTTACCACCAATTACATGAGCCTGAAATTGACACCGACTTCTCAATAGAATGGTCAAAGGCAGTGCAAATATATGGTGGGACAGAGGAATTTTCTATAGTTTTTCAAGATCAAGTTGGCATAACCAGAAATTACAGAAAACATATACTCAAAGAAACTTGATCACGCATAAATATCGCCTTTCGGATATTTCTAAGATGAATCTTAGGCTCATGAATCAGTCCAGCATGTAATCAATGGCTGTGATACTTTGGAATATCTGATGAGGCATAATAATGGTGCAAAAATATACCATCAAAGTATATTAGTCAGTGGTACAGACCCCTTTTTATAAAATTATTAGCATCCGGCTGAACCTTCATAAATAGCTTCATCTCATCGTAACCTACAAATATTTTATTTACGGAAATTCTCGGAATTGGGGTGTTTTCAATATGGAGATCGGCAAACTTTATCTATTTAATTAGGTACTAATAATTCGTGAATAACCATTTGATTTTCATTTGAATCTTAAAATAATTTGATCACGAACTCGAGAAAAAAGGCGACCTTCAACTATATTGGACCGTTGATTTAAAAAACCTCGTTATTTTGACATTTTTGGGGTGTTGATCACGCCAAACGGTTCAATATTTTTGTATGCCACATTTATTCTCCATTTTGTGATCAAATTATCTTACGATCCAAGTGAAAAGCAAATGGGTATAAAAGAGTTTTTAGTGCCTAATTAAATAGGCAAAGTTTGCCGACGTCCAGATTGAAAACGCCCCGATTCGAAGAGATTTCGTAAATAAATAGTTGTACGTTATGATGAGATGAAGCTACTTTTCAGAGGGATATCAATAATTTGAAAAAAAGGGGTCTGTTCCACGGACTATTGATTTTTTTTTATTTTCATTTATGATATTTACAACTGTATTAATATAAATACATCAAGCAAATGTGTACACAGAAACATGATCACGTGAAAAGGCTTTCTGAGAAACTACCAACTGGTAGCATTCTAATAATATGTCTACAAAAGGAAATCACGCGGCCATCTTCTTTTCAATCGCCTCAGAAGATTGTCAGGAATCGAAGAGGAAGCAAGGTTAGAAACCATTCGGATGGTTATGAAATTTATTACGGAAAGATAGGTATTTGGATTGGGCCAGATCTGAAACAAAAGAAACAAAGGATGGTTTTATTTGTAACAAAGTAGGGGGCATTGAGGATTTTACAAAGGATTTTGGATTATAAGGATTGGATACGAGAGGAATTCGATGGTTTTGTGGAGCTCCATAGCTCAACTCCAAAAGTCCAAATAGGTCTTATTATATCCATTTATATAAGTCTTTTGTAATAAATTGGAAGCTTAGATCGTTTGTCTAGTAAGTGCTGGAGGGACTATTAAGTTAAACATGTTATAAACCATAAAGCTTTATTACAAAAAGTTGTTTAAACGCCGGGAACCCCTGGGACTATGAATACACGATTAATGATTCCCAATCAGAAACCACCCATTTCTTTTCATCGCCGCTGCTTATCGTGCCCTCCACGTTCGGCTTTATAAAAATATAGAAGGATATTGGATGCGACAATAAAAGCCGGAGATCAACGATTCGGAAGGCAGGGAGAGAATTCGAGGCCCGCTGGCTATGAGCCATAATGCTCCTCATTCCTTTCCGTCCTCCAGCCACCTCCGGATGACCACTTTAAGTCTGGAATGCCGCGGTAATATCTTCCGTCCAGGATATTCAGTCCAAGGATATTCACCCAGATTTCGGCGCAATTAAATTAAATGATTATTATTCCGCAGTGGCAGGTTTATTATTATGTTAATGAAAGTTTTAAAAAAAAATCCAGTACGGTGAGTACATTACACAACTTTTATTTACCACCATACTTTCACAAGAAATTGATTTTAAATATAACTAGAGGGGTTATGTACTTCACATGCTTACTGTCAACGAGTTTGGCAGCTTGTATTATTGTACGATATTTTTAAAAAATAAAAATGCTACAGTGTGTGCTTTAGGCCATAGAAGCTAAAACATCAACAAGGCGAGATTGATAATATCCGTACATATATTATTACAGTAAGGCTCGAAATCGGTTTTGTACCAAATATAAACTCCTGTCATGTACAAATACCATGGATGGGGTACCGTTGGATTCAGAATTTCATGGGGGTTTAGCGAATCGTATTCTCCGCTTTTGTTTTTCTTTCTAAAATAAATAAAGTCGATACAAACATTTTGATAGGCTTCAATACTGGAACGGTGGTAGGTCTGTAGATCGATACGGGACAAATTGGACCTTGAAGATTTTGATGCGTACAGCAAGACCCGGAGGAACTATCGGATCCTGCGTTTTTAAGCCCAAAAACGTACTATTTTCGAGATAACGCAAGACATAGGGTTCGCATCCACACAACCTTACATTAATTGTAGTACTGTCATTGAATACATGTCTCATTTCGTCGACTTGAGGTCTCTATGATCGAGAGAGGAGGAGTTTATATTATTTATCGATGGTGTTTTTGATCGGCAAGCCATATCATCGTTAATTTTTCACCAAATCTCAAGATTGAGCCACCAATTTCGAAGGCTTCCTTCTCCTTCAGGCTGGCAAAATAGTCCAATCACCCAGAAAATTCAGGCAAACAAGTTATGAAAGAAAATAAACTTTATTTGCGAATAACTGAAAAATTACACACTTTTCCCTTGGTTATTCCCATGATTATATAAAAGATTACTAAATTCCCTACAAAAGGAAAAAAAATCATCGCAATCGGACAATTTTTAGCAAAGATTGTATTTTTGCAAAGCAGCTAACTGAAATTTGTATAAATGTTGGTTCCAAACAAAAATGAAGATTTAAATTAATTTTTGTTTGCTTTGTGGATTATATTTATCGATAAAGTAACATTTGATGTCTTAATCTTTTGATAAGTTGCATTTTCTTATTTTCTTATTAATTTGGCATTTGATAACAATATGCTGT